ATATCAACAATGTTTCTCTTAAATCTTCTGTACCATATTATGAAATAAAATATATATATATATATATATATATATATATATATATATATATATATTATATATATATATATATATATATATATATATATGTGTGTGTGTGTGTGTGTTTGTATATGGAGGCACCACCTCTCGAACTTTACTGGGGACCCTTATCCTTAGAGAAGACAATAAACGTATCTCAGGGAAAGCTCAATGATCTACGGAGCTGTTTCAATATTTTCTTCTCCTACCACCTATATTCTATGTGTACTGTATTAATAAACAGAAAACATTGACAGAAATCACAAACATGATACATTGGTAAAATATATCAAAGATTATGAATCTCCTCCAGCTCCTCCAAAGCAGGATGCGAGCCCAGTATGCAACATACATTTCCCCTCTGGATGGACACGCTGGGGCACTGGAACATGAAAGTGGCTGCCCTTGGTTCCTTGGTGGTGTCGATTAGTTTGGAACCTAGTTCTTTAAGGAAATGTGTGGCATTTTTTCCCCATGATCCCAAGGTCTCTGATCCCATGGAATATACGTGTATTTGCGGCTTGCGTATCGCCGCAAATACACGTATATTCCGTGTGAATTGGGGCAGCAAGGCGGAGAGCCACTACAATAAGGAGGGCTTTAGGGTCGATGCGTGTTCCCATTGGCGAAATGGGAATTGTTTGGAGGAAGTCCTCGGAGTGATGTGCACTCAGAGCTTGGAGATAGACAGTCTCCCTGTCTGATGTTACAGCCCTAAGCATGTTGGCAAGCACCTTTTCAGCGATGGGGCCATCCCAACTTGACTGTTTGTAGGCCTGTGTTGCAATAGGTTTTGGTGCTGGAGCAGCAAGAGTCTCCCATTCAGTGATGGCACTGGCGTAGCTAGGGTTCTACATTTCTTCTGAGTCACTGAGGTTGTCCAGAAGAATTTGTTTTATTAACTCATTTGATGCTATGGAAGAGGATAGGAAAGCTGGTAGGACAATCTGGGAGGATTTGCGTACTCCCAGTCTCCCAAGCATGACTGGAAGTGAGGCTTGCAACCACTGTCCATCTTCGAGGGAATGATTCAATACACTCTCTAGCATGGTCTTAAGAAGAGAGTCATATTCCCTGAGTTTCGGACTGCTGAAGTCTGGGGAGCATCTCAGAAAGTAGGTAAGTTTTAGGGTTGACAGGCACCTGGTGAGTAGGTAGAAGGCATCATGAGTATCGATGTCTTTCATCTTGCCTTCCATCGTCCTGATGTCTGATTTTTTTCCCTAGGATCAGATCGATCGCATTGGGCCCAAGTGGAGCACCAAAGAGAGTGCTGTTGGCTGGATCAATGGCTCGTGCTCCTGGTAAAACAGCACTAATATTCTGGATCATCTGTCGATTGGTAGAAACTATTTCACATTTGGTGGGGGTTAAATATAGGCCCAGGCTCTCCAGAGGCTCTCTAGAGGACATTTTTCTGATATCCTCTAGGAGAGGTTCTGTAGTGCCAGCTAGAGCACCACAATCCAAGAACCAGATATTGAGATCACTGGAGAGCACTTCTGTGACTTCCTTGATGACCAGGCAGAATAGAAAGGGGGTGGGAGGGTCCCCCTGTTGCACGCCCTCACATGAGTCAATTTCATGGTCCCCAAACAATAGTTTAGAAGTCGCACTAAAACACGATTCTATGAAGGGATAAAGGGAAGGGAATTTTCTATAAACTGCTTGGAGAGCAGCATCCCTTCTGACTGAGTCGAAAGAGTTAGCAAAGTCCAAGTTGATCAAGGCGTTTTCATCGGACATGTTGATATATACTCGTGCTGCGTGGGCAGCTGCTTCACAGCCTTGTTGAACACCAAAACCGAGCTGACTTGGTTTCAACCTTGCAGCAGCCTCTTGACTCACCCTTCTTACTGCAACCTTGACGACTAGGTGCAATGGGCCTGATTCCTCCATTCTTTTTCCGGAGGGCACACAGTGAGGTACCAAAGACAAGGGGTCTAATGACCTCTGGGACACTGCCAGCCAGACAAACATTGGACAATTTAGTGAGGTCCGGCAGCAGCCTCTCTGAAACATCACCAAGTGCTGGACTGAGCATTTGTTGTAAGTGTTGTGGCCTTAAATAGGTGAAACCTCCTGCTGAGCCCAGTGGAAATGACATAGCAGCTTTATACACAGCATTCTGTAAGGTTAAATGTTCTTCACCTGCTGGAATGCAAGAGGGGTCAATGCTAGTACTGGGAGCCCTGGGTGGATGTTTGTCCTTCAGGGCTTGTGACGTACTGACGTCCTTAGGAGCGATGGTATCCTCACTGGTTATAAGCCTCAGTACTCCAATAGTATTACCCTCTTCTATTTTTGCTAATTATATAAATATATATATATATATATATATATATATATATATATATATATATATATATATATATATATATATATATATACATATATATATATATATATATATCATGCCGAATAGGCAGAATTTGCTATCTTGGCTTAAATATCAACGTTCATCTTGCCATATAGGATAAGTGAAAATTTGCGTATGCAATAATTTCGCCAAAATCATTCTGAACCTAACGAAAAAAAATATATTTCACTCTGTTTGTTTAGTATTAAATACTGTAAACAAATCTAAAATATATTTAGTTGGGTTAGGCTAAAATGGAATGCTCTTGTTATAATAAGATTCTATTGGTGAAAAATTAAAAATTTTTACATTAACATTAATGAAAAAAATATATCTTTAAACGTATAAGAGAACATTTTAGAAAGGACTTAATTTTAAATGAGTTCTTGCTAATTGACCAGTTTTACATATTCGGCACGACATATATATATATATATATATATATATATATATATATATATATATATATATATATATATATATATATATATATATATATGCAAAACAACCACTGTGAAAGAATAGAGAAGTTCAAGCGATTTCGTGACTACTCACATTATCATAGTTCCTTGATAATGTGAGTAGTCACGAAAGCGCTTGGAATTTCTCTATTCTTTCACAGTGGTTGTTTTGCATATTCTGAAATCACCTGTTTACTATGATCTTATTGCATATATATATATATATTATATATATATATATATATATATATATATATATATATATATATATATATATATATTTATTTATATATATATATTATATATATATTTATTTATATATATATATTATATATATATATTTATTTATATATATATTATATATTTATTTATATATATATTATATATATATATATTTATTTACATATATATATTTATATTATATATATATATATATATATATATATATATATATATATATATATATATTATATATATATATATATATTTATTTATATATATATATATTTATATATATATATATATATATATATATAATATATATATATATATTTTTTTTTTTTTTTTTTTTTTTCAACAAGTCGGCCGTCTCCCACCGAGGCACTAATATAATAATATATAATATATATATATATATAATATATATATAATATATATATATATATATATATATACACACACACACTAATATATATATATATATATATATATATATATATATATATATATATATATATATATATATATATATATGACTCAGATTTATTCACTAATAGATGCTGCAATCACAATAAATGTCATACTGTTGTTAGTGATCTTGTACTGGCAGAAACAAGACACTTATTTCAAATAGTTTACATTGAATACTAAGTACATGGACCAGAAAATTGACTTTGACAAGGTCTCGATGCGACAATAATTCCTCAGTGATATGAACTTTCTTGGCAGGTACACTAAGACAATATCGGATGCTATATTATTACCTGCTAATTCATCATTCTTTTAACTGCATCATACATCTTGAAATTAAAATTCCCCTATTCTACATTGTATTTCTAAGTGAATGGTTGTATTTCTAAGTGAATGGTTGAAAAGTATAGATAAGTGTTAACATGAGAATTAGTCAGAATGTCGAGGGTGGAACAATTCATAACTAATGAAGAAATTGATACTGGAAAACTGACGACGTTTCAGTCCGTCCTGGAACATTACATCGCGACGGACTGTAACGTCGCTTTGTTTCCAATTCCGACTTGTGATTTAACTACGAACTGTTAACAGGATTAATGATAACTACAAAATTTAATCCATCGACTGTGAATTCCTTTTGTGAGCGCTTATGTGAACATCATCAAACCAGGCAACAGTTGACAATAGTTGTGAAGATGAACACACACACACAGCGAGGCTCCAACAATTCCTCAATTATCAGAATAGCCTTCAAATATCCCGTAATTTACATCAGTATAAACTTAAAAGCTGCTAAATTTTTAATATAAAAAATCGAATAAGTGTACAGATGACCAAGTTAGCTCACTGAAATATTAGTTTATCTTCACTGCAATAAAGAGGTTTCTTGCCGAGGTGAAGGGCTCTTGATTCAAGCTTTCAGAACAACCCTTCCCATTAACTGGCTAAACACCACCCTTATAGATTTACTACGATTTAACTGTGATCAAAAACAATAAAATATTTTTTTTGTGACTTCCAGGAATCTCGTCGTCAGAAAAGCTGTCAAGACGGTCTTTAAGCTTTTCCTGAAGATCTTGAGAACTCGGGAAATTAGAACAGACCTAGATTTTATATAACCATTTAGCATTGCAAAAGTCGTTTGCTGCTTTCATCATAGTTTTCCAAATGCTTAATTATATTTCCATGACGCTTTAACGCATTTTAAGTAAACGATATTTTTTTTTAGCTATTTAATGTAACACTGTTTAAAACATTTTAAATAGAGCATTTATGACAATTAGTAAGTATTTAAAACATTAAATACAGCATTTATGACCATTAGGAAGTATTTAAAACATTTTAGAAGCATCCAGTGTTACATATGATCGTTTAATATGTATACTAGCGGGTATTGGTTGTTGGCAACACTGTTAGGGTCGAAAACTTACTTGTTAAACAGTACGATATCCGGCTTCCATACTTTATCTGGCGGAAGGCGAAGCACTTTAATACCACCATAGTCTGCCGCGTCCCATCTGAGCTGGTAGTCCTTCCAGACCTGTAGGAAGAAGATAGCGAAGATAAGAAAGATAGGGAAAGATAAATATGGATCAGTAATAATATTTTGGTTAAGTTCTAAGGCTGTGTGGGTCATTCAGTGCAGGAAGTAGTGGAAGTCCGATCCACCTTCTGTAAAGTGAGAGCCTGACACGCCACAAAATTCTAATCGCATATTACCTCAGAAAAACAGGGATAAAAATTAGATAAGCAACTGATGAAAACTATAGGCGACGTCCTTATCTTTTATAGCTGACTGACGGAAAGAGGGATTACTACGAACACTTTAGTTATAGGGTACATAAGCCACTGAATGAAAAGCGCTTTAGAGTATACCACTGACGTAGACAGATTATGGATAACCCACTGAAGTAAGTGGGTTTTGAATAAACCACTGATGCAGACTCGTTTAAGATAAATCGCAAATGTAGACAGGCGTAGATTAACCGTTGATGTAAGCAAGTTTTGGATCATGAAACTTCAGATAGTACTGACACAGCATTACTCTACAAGACAGAAAATAACAGCGCGAAAACAAGCATGCTATAAACACTAAATTCGTCTCAGACAAACACATTACAAAACATTACATTTATTCACGAGTATTAGTGCGAACAAAAACAAAACAAAAAAAATCTCTCGGCACATCATTTTTTCCAACTTTCTAAATTCATTTTCTTCATGCCAGTTTGTGGGTTACTAGGGGCCAAAAAAAAAAATCGTACAATGACAGGGAGGTCAGCCTTTTTTCCCAGCACTAATTAATTGTAAATACAAAGAGTATTCAGCCAAACATTAATGATTTGCCCTGTGAAGCCAAGTATTGTGTTGGGCTATTCACTGGTAACAATGGCAGGGAAAAAAGAAAAAGAACAGTGAATGCTGAACACTAGAGCGTAGAGAACAACACGTTCTCTCTTTTTTTTATATAGCCGTTGGATAGTTTCTGTTCACGAACAATGACTAGTGATTAATGTCACGCGTAATTAATGCCAAATTAAGGGTACACTGTTCGATGTATTACTGTGTGGTTCTGTCTGACGTGTAGATGTAGATATATGGTTCAGAGAACCGACAAGTTGATACACTAGACACATGTGCAACATTATGTATTTTTATTGTGTTGTGGGTGTTTTTATTGTTTCCACAATAAAGACATCATAGTGTTGCATATGTTTCTAATTTACAGACACGTAGATAGAACAAGCTTATGCTGCATGCGGTGAGTCCTTCTGGGAGAACTTTATGCGTTTGAGCTAATAAAGCTTATCGCTTCACAGCTTATTCTGATGCTAGCAGCTTCCCAACTGACCAAAATATAGTTCAGAGGTTTATCAGCTTGAGATAATGAAGCTTAGCGCTTCATAGCTTTCCTTGACAATGAGAAGACCTTGACCAGTTTAACATGATAAAGCTGAGACCATTATCAACTTAACTTGATGAAGCTGTGTGGCATCAGGTCGTTTTCTTAAAGGCGCTCTCGCTCTTTTGTTCACTCATGCTCTCTCTCTCTCTCTCTCTCTCTCTCTCTCTCTCTCTCTCTCTCTCTCTCTCTCTCTCTCTCTCTCTCTCTCTCTCTCTTTCTCTCTCTCGTGGTCTTTGTGACTCTGTGACGGCTTACTACCTATCTTTCACACATGTTTTTCTCTTTAATTTTTGGGTAGTAGTCTTGGAAAAGGGGAGGTAAAAATGGTACTTTTTGTTGTATTACTGCTGCTGTTATCGTTATTATTATCATTATTTTATTAAAATGAAATTATTATATTATAATTTATTATTTTATAATTATTGTAATTATTATTACTATTATTATTATTGGTAAAAGAGACACTAAACCCTTAGGGAGTCACAGTGCCTGGGAAATACGAAGCATTCAGGTTCGATCCTAGGAATGGGAGGTCAAGTTCAGTTCCTCGGAATAAGAGCGCGGCACCTCCTTCAGGTGTGTCATATCCTCTCTGTGTTGTGTGTTTTATCAGAGTGTGTCTTAGTTTAAAATAATCCAACTTAAGTCAAGTTGCAGGTCACCAACTTATCTGAAGCTGCAGGTCACGGTCTTAGCTCAAGCTGCAGGCCACCATCTTAGATTAAGTTGCAGTTTTCTATCTTAGCATAAAATGCTTGTCATTATCTTGGATTTAATCAGATAGTCACTATATCAAAGGTCACTGTCGTAACGTAAGTGAATGGTTGCCGTTTTTGTTATGTATTGTCTTCTTCGAGTGCTTCCCAGTAGGTGTATAATACTGTGCATCTTCCCAGTAGCTGAATATAATGTGTAATTTCCCAGTAGGTGCATATACTGTATATGTTTTTAATAGCTGTATATACTGTGTACCTTCACCCGTAGTGTTGTGCTTCACTCAGATCTCTGAATCCAGCACAACAAGCAAGTTGCCTCGCTGCTGCTCTCCTGGATCCACCATACCATCACCATATATCATGGTGCGTTTTGTTTATGCCATTCGAATCGTCTAATACCACCGTATTTACAGAGTATCCAAGAAGTAATACCCCCAGATTTGTTGTGCATTTTTCCATGTAGTTATTCCTAAATTAAATTTTCTTGGACTCCACTATCGCTACAAATCACATTCCACGGGACTGTGACACGTCGGGTCGATGGTGACATCATTCCATCTATAGCTCAAATTTCACACTCTCGGGAAGACAAGCAGACAGCTATTGAGAAGGAAGACAACTTCTGAAAAACAGAGACAAGTGCCAGGAGGAGAGACAAATACCGGGAAAAGAGAGATAACTCCTGGGAAGAGCGACAAGTACTGGGAAGAGCGACAAGTACTGGGAAGAGAGACAACTACTGGGAAGAGAGACAACTACTGGGAAGAGAGATTAGTATTGGGAATAGACAAGTACTGGGAAGAGAGACAACTACTCGGAAGATAGACAACTACTGGGAAGAGAGACAAGCACTGGGAAGAGAGACAAGCACTGGGAAGAGAGACAACTACTGGGAAGAGAGATAATTACTGGGAGGAGAGACAAGCACCAGGAAGAGACAGCTACTGGGAGGAGAGACAAGCACCAGGAAGAGAGATAACTACTGGGAGGAGAGGCAAGCACCAGGAAGATAGACAAGTACTAGGAGGAGAGACAATCACCAGGAAGACAGACAGCTACTGGGAGGAGAGAAGCACCAGGGAGAGAGACAGCTACTGGGAGGAGAGACAAGCACCAGGAAGAGAGACAACCACTGGGAGGAGAGGCAAGCACCAGGAAGAGAGACAGCTACTGGGATGAGACAAGCACCAGGAAGAGAGACAACCACTGGGAGGAGAGGCAAGCACCAGGAAGAGAGACAGCTACTGGGATGAGAGACAAGCACCAGGAAGAGAGACAACCAATGGGAGGAGAGGCAAGCACCAGGAAGAGAGACAGTTACTAGGAGGAGAGACAAGCACCAAAAAGAGACAGTTACTGGGAGAAGAGGCAAGCGCCAGGGAGAGAGACAAGTACTGGGAGGAGAGAAAAGCACCAGGATGAGAGACAGCTACTGGGATGAGAGACAAGCACCAAAAAGAGAGAGAACTACTGGAAGGAGAGACAAGCACCAGGAAGAAAGAAGTACTAAAGCAGGGAGAGAGCTACAGAGAAACCAGGAAGAGAGACAAGCACCAGGCAGAGAGACAATTACTGAGAGGCGAGATAAACACCAGGAAGAGAGATAGCTACTGGGAGGAGAGACAAGCACCAGAAAGAGAGAGAGCTTCTATGAGGAGAGACAAGCACCAGGAAGAGAGCTATGGGAGGAGAGACAAGCACCAGGAAGAGAGACAGTTTCTGGGAAGAGTTGGGAGTGGTGTTGTCATGGGTCTTCTGCAGTGGTGCTCACGCGAGGTTTAAGCTGACGACTTCTCGGAAGCAAGACGAGGCGGAAGGGAGGAGAGAGAGAGAGAGAGAGAGAGAGAGAGAGAGAGAGAGAGAGAGAGAGAGAGAGAGAGAGAAGGGAAGGAGGAATAATAAAAAAGGGGGAGGCGAGGAAGCGACAGGGAGTTAGCAGGAGGTACAAGGAGAGAGTTGCAGAGGGATGGTGTCAGGGAAAATGAAGATGGTAGAAAGAGGGAGGGTGTGAGGGGAATGTGAGGAGGAGGCAGGTAAAAGGAAAAAGGGGAGGTTATGAAGGGAGGGAGAGGGCGAGGCAGGGAGGGAGAGGGCGAGGCAGGGAGGGAGAGGGCGAGGCAGGGAGGGAGTGGTAGATACGAGAACTGGGAAGGGAAGGGAGGAAGGGACATAAAATCATGGGATTCTAACCAGAGGGACACAAAGAGGGAGTGAAAGGGAACAACTACTACTCAGGAAGACAAGGTGTGCAGGGAGAAGGCATCAGGTCTGGTGTACACATTTACCTGTCACCCAGCCAGCTGCACCTGTCTCGTCTCCACAGGTGGTTATGAAACTTATACAAGACCACGCAATCGAACCCGGATATCCTGCTCGACAAAGGGCATCTAACAGTTATCTCCGTCTCATCAAGTTGAGTACATATTTGAGGAACCACCATCATCCTCTCTGATCAACTCAAAAGGCTTTATTACTAGTGTTCGTGAGCTCACGCACAGTTTCGTAGTCATCGGCCTTATATAGCGGTGGTAGTTAGAAAATTTGTGGACGACGCAATTCTAAAGAAATTTACGAACTTTCTGTTAAGCCACGTAAAGTCAGGAAGATGTTACTGTGTGTTTCATTAAATATATACATGCCCAGGAAATGGTGTAATATTCATTTTATTAACACATCTGCCGTTTCCCACCAAGTCAAGGTGACCTGAAAAAGAAGAAAAACTTTCATCATCATTCACTCCATCGTTGTCATGCCAGAGGCGCGCCTGCGCTACACATCAAAAACTGCAACAAATCTCCACCCATCCTTCAGAGAGCAAGCACTCTACTTCCCACCTCCACAACCTCCTTCAGAGTGCAGGCACTCTACTTCACACCTCCATATCTCCTTCAGAGTGCAGGCACTACTTCCACCTTACCTCAAGTGAGGCACTCTATCAAACCTCAACCTCCTTCAGAGTGCAGGCACTCTACTTCCCACCTCCACACCTCTTTCAGAGTGCAGGCACTCTACTTC